GTATCTTAAAACTAGACAGAAATGCCTACAATAAATTTTTATTATTTTTTCCAATACATTTTGCTTGTTTCAAGAGGAAGATTTGTTCCAACGCATTCATCATTCACTGAGATACAAGCCTTTTGAAAAGCAGTAGTTGTTTATGGAGAATATAATAATAACCCAAGGAATGAGCTATCATGTCCATGCAGTGGAAATTGAGACCTCCTAGCTTATATGAAGCACATACTGTTCTTGTTACATGTCTTATGAGACTGTGAGCCCATTCCAGAACATAGCCCACGTGCCATGTTTTCAAAGAAACGCCAAGCCCAAATCCTTCACTCCTCTGTTCGTTTTCTACCTTGCTTCAGCAAATGTGCAAAGGCACTATTTCCAGATAGTATTTTCCTCACCCCACCCCCACCCCCCTTCTTCTCTGCAGGAGATATTGAAGTACATTTTGTACACAGGAAGATGATGCCACTTCCAAGTGGACAATACTGAGGACAAATAACTAGCCGTCTAGCTGTATGCCTTTTTTGCAAATCGCTGCAGCCCATGATTGCTCATGTGGAAAGAATCACTTTTTTCTCTTCCTCTAGAGGTTGGTAAACTGGAAAGCACTTTCTGACTTAAGCTGAATTAGATGTAAATTGGTTAAAAGCTTGATTATGAAAAACACTCTAGAGGGAAGCTCAAACTTAATAAAAGGATCGTATTTTACATTGTTTTTCCTAAGTATTATCCCGTGATATATGTCTATTATCTGCACTAACTTGTTAAAGTCCATGACAAATTAACATTGCCTAATGCATTGAACTCTTTGGAACAAAGGACTAATGGACGATATGCATAATAATTAGGTGACACAAAAATCTACACAAGATGCTAGAGAGACCTATCTTGTGTGTATCTAGACATAATGAGTTGTATGGCTCAGTGTTAATAGCATATTGACAGTGTGCTTTCAGCTTTCTGGCTGCATACCTCCCTTTCATCTTTAACGCTTCGGAGTGCCATACAGTAGCACTTGTGTTTACAGGTGTGTTGAAGTCTTGAAGTGAGCCAAGTGAAGGAGCTGTAAAACATCAACCTGGACTATTAGCGTGATGGAATTTAGACAGCTAGAAAAGCATTAGTAGCACAGGAGTTCACAAATATGAGATGACCCAGACTTCAGTATTATGAGGAAAATTAGTTACATTTGAAACTGGAAGCAATTCACCTGTGTTCCCATGAGATCGCACTGTCATCGTGAAAAGCACCCACTGGATAGCATGGCTAATTATAGCTGTCCAGCATCAAAGGTCCACTTTGAAATTAGCATAGACACTCTCAGAAAAAAATATATATAATATATTCAGGTAATAATATTTACCTTTAACCTTAAAACTGACTTGTATGTTCCATAGAGTCACTGGGTCATGTTCACTAATAATTGACTAATTCACACACACATATTTGTTCTTAATCTTGTGGTAATGTTAATGAATTTGGCTTTTTTTAATTAACCAACTTTGCCCGAGGTTAGTCATTTGTATAAACACACCAAAATTATCTCCATACAGGGACTTTACACACAACCTTTCTTTACTCTCAGCAACCTTAAAAAGCTTGTGTCTGATGAAATACATATTTAATAAGGTAAAAAAATTTTTTTAACATTTATAAGGCCACCAAGAGTGATTTTTTTGTTTGTTTGTGTGTGTTTAGTTGTTCCTGTGTTTTAAAAAAAAAAGTAGAATATGAAAGTTGTTGATGAATCATGAATTGTTTGTGAAAATGTTTGTATGCAGATATCATGGATAAATTTGTACTCACGTGTGGTTAGTGTTTAGTTAGTTAGCATAGCCACGTAAGCCTCTGCTGCGAAATGTTGTAACTTTACAGTCGTTCCCATTTAAAATTGACCATGTATTGATGAAAAGCGTCTTTGCTACATGACAGTCACAGTCAACAGTCACTGACGATGTCTGCTATTCTTTAGAAAGCCAGTGAGAAATGTTTTCTGTGAGCATCCAGCTACAGTTTGTATCAGCTCAAGATTGATTGATGCGCATCTCGTCAACAAAGCCTTTCTGCCAAGGTAGCTGCCTCTCCTGAGAAGAAATCACTGGCGTTGAGATCGATCCATCTTCCAGCAATTTGCTTTTCTTATTTAAAGTATGATTTATCAACAAATTGAGCTTTAAGACGATGTTGGCAAGCGATTTAATGGTCGTAGTGGATTCATTTTCTTTTCATTATGTTATTACACGCTTGGGTAGCCGGCGGTATTGTGAGATATTCTAGTTGTCGTGATGAGGCAGTCTTTGCGCAGTCTTCAGTCAAAGCTCGCCCCGAGAAGACATGGGTCGTGAGAGTGGAGACGTTCCATTTGCCCCTATTTCCTGTGACCTGTCATTAGCATGCCCATCATAGGCTATCACGGTGGAAAGACACCCGGCTCTGGGGCTTGTTGTCATTGTGTAGCTATTGATTGATAGATGATGAGAGATGATGTGAGTTTCAAACACTAGTGACAGCTTAATGACTGTGCAGGGCTCCTTTTGGGCTTCCATAGTGCAAATCTATGCTGTCAGATGTGGTTTTTAAACTGCTTGTAGTTGTATTTTGATTGCTGTGAACTGGTATTTGGTAGGTCAGGTAATGGATGAGAGTGTCACCGCTTGACGTCGGCCAGTATTTGGACAAAAACTGGGTACAGGAATTTCTATGTTGTTTGCTTCTAATATTAGGCCTTTATGTGTGATACTTGGGTTTATGGGAACCGGTGAGTAAAGGTTTTTAGAGTTGTTAAAGTTAAAGAGTCAATGATAAAGAAGAAAGTCCCAAAAAATCTTTTAAAATTCAAGTTTAAGTTCTTAGAATTACTATAGCATTCTGGTTGGTTTCATATGGTTTCATTTTCAAGAAGTTTAAAATTAATAAATGCAATGCAGTCGTGTCTAATGATGCTGTGTGTGGTGAGAAATGGTAAATTTATGAATTAATAATAAATTAAAATAATAAATATCATTCACTTCTTATGTCACATCACATGACATTTTACAGCCTTAACTAACCTTGGCTTGTCATAAAAAGGTTAATTTATTTGATATTTTTAAGACACTTGTTGACCTTTTAATAAAAGATATCCAGAACTCTTTAATAAGATTTTCTTATCATCAGGCTGTTTTCTTTATTATGATATCAGGACAGTTTTACCACCCTGACATTTTTTTTACTTCTTGCCCTTCAAAAAAAATATCAAAAAGAAATTAAAATATTCTTATCAGAGAAGAGGTGTTCGAACCATTCTATGTTTAAATGACATTTTTAATTTGTTTTTGAATAAATGAATAGATACTGAAAATAATGAGCGTCATGTATTTGACCCTGGAGTCTTTCAGGTGTTTACTGTTGGCACTCCCGCAGTGAGCTCCCTTAACATGCAGAGTTTAGAAATACCCCAGTGCTTTCTCAGCTAGCAGCAATTAGCACAAACTCCTTGCTGGCTAATTACAGCTCTGCTACATGCAGGATGCAGGAATACATTAACACTTCAGTTTGTCATTTTAACACATTGCTTAATGTACATACACTTTGAACTGTTCTCATTGTACTCTCAGTGAGGGGTGGTGTGCGTTGATTTCTTTTTAAATAGCTTGGAAATTGTTAGCAGTTAAGGTAGTAAAAATGGATGTTAAGCATTTTACCACCACACACTTTTCTAACTGTTTTAGGCTTGTTTAGCTGGTCTCCCAACCTGACCAAGCTGCTGTTCATCTGGTCGGCCAGCTGTTATTCTAGCCTGGGGTGCGCTCCCAAAAGCAGCTATGGTCTCAAGTTCCATCATTACCAACAGAGTTCAATGGAACTTGCGACCATAGTTTGCTAACAGTGCTGTAGGGAAATGCACCCCTGAGCAACTAACAAGAGCTTAAAAGCCCTGTAAAATTATAGTAGCAAACCTGACTAGCTTGGTGGCTAGCTAAGACACAGCATACCACCTTAGACTATTTAGGGATGCCCGATTATTCTCCTGGCGGACCAACATCCTGCAAAGTTTACCTCCAACCCTGAATAAATACATCTGAACCGGGTAATAAAGGTAATTTGGAGTGCTAGAGACTTCCAGACAGTAAGTTGGGCACACCTGGTTCAGTTTAAACTGATTTTAGCATCCTAGTCTCATAACAAGGGTAAAATGGATGCCAACTAATGTTATAGTGGTGCTACATGACAAATGCCATAAGAGAATGTTTTGCTGTGAAAGTGTTATTAGACTTGACTTGGCTTGGACGTGAATTCTTATCATACACTAGCAGTCAAACACCATTTTTTTTTTTAAATCATGTATAAAACAGTACGTTTAATATGCTTTAAAATGTAATTTATTATAGAAAAACTTTAATTTATTATAAGCTGCTTAATAATTTTGTAATTTTGAAACAGATACATTGTGATATTTTTTTTCAGAATTGTTCATGAACATTGGGTTCAATGAACCGCATTTACTTGAAATAGAAATATCATCATATATGTCTTTATTGTCACTGTGTCTTTGCTGAATAAAAGTATTTCTTCTTTCTTTTAGAATGATTATTAGAGTGATTAGAATTATTTCTGAAGGATGATGTGACACGGAAGATTGGAGTAGACAGTTTTTGTTTTTTGTTTTTTACATTTTTGGAAAACACCATTTCTCCAGGCTTGTATGTTTCATTTTGTATGAACGAGATTGCGTTATTATTTTCACCTTAAAGCCTCAAAACCCTGACATTTTGTTTTTCTTCCTTCCTTATTCTTTTTTTCTGTCTGACAGACTGTCAGACAGCACATGTGGCACTCTGTATATAAATGAAGTAAACCAGTTAGCCGGAAACCTGTTCTGTTTGGCTCATGTTGAGCTTTGCTATAAAAACCTCTTTTTTTGTTGTTGGATGAACTTTCTAGCTGCTGATTAAGCACATGGCACAAACCCTTATAGGACTCGCTGACCTGAACTAACTCCTGCCTTTCTCTTTTCTCTGTAGGTACAACCAGACAGCCTAAAGAAGGAGAGGTTCCGGGAGTAGACTACAACTTTGTGACCGTTGAGCGGTTTGTGGAATTGGAGAGAAGTGGAGCTTTGCTGGAAAGTGGAACTTATGAAGGTAAATTGGCCAGGTTGCACAACCACATATTATGTTTTTGCCCCATTATCTCATTGCTACCATTATGGATTGGATTATGTCCTAAAATAAACCAACCAATTAAGTATTGAAGTGATGGTTTTTGTGCTGTGTACATAAGTAATACCTCAAATCAAGTTTCTTGAGGTGAAGTGAGCTATTACTATTACTACTCTAAGCCATTTTTAACCTAGTGAATGGCAAAATCAACTAAATAATCCCATATACTTACATTTAAGGAGGGAATGGTGTCATATTTAAAGGGGTCATATGATGTTGCTAAAAAGAACATTATTGTATTTGGTGTAATGAAATGTGTTTATGCGGTTTAAAGTTCAAAAAACACATTATTTTCCACATACTGTACATTATTGTTTCTCCTCTATGCCCCGCCTTAATGAAACGCGTCGATTTTTACAAAGCTCATCGTTCTGAAAGGCGAGGTGTGCTCTGATTGGCCAGCTATCCAATGCGTTGTGATTGGCCGAATACCTCAAGCGTGAGACGGAAATGTTACGCCCCTCACCATACTGTGATGCCTGCCCTGTC